TCTCTCTCTCTCTCTCTCTCTCTCTCTCCTCTCTCCAGTCCCTCCCCCTCAAAAAAAAAGAACAAAACTGAATTGGAAAACGGTCTCTCAAGCGTGGTAGGACCATAATGATGCCTATTGGCCCTTAGTTGTGACAATCATTTCCCCACAGGGAGCACTACCACCACAATCCCCAACTTAGTCTAAGTTCAGGGGCTCCGGGTCCGAGCGCCTTAAAGGGGCCACATCCTGGGCCCACAGTGTAGAGGCCCCAGGAAAGACACTTTCTGAAGAACTGTGCAGCCAGCAACTAGCAAGGAAGGACCACCTCTCCTCCCCTTTTCCTCCAAGCCTAAGGCCAGCCAGGCTCTGGGGTTAGAGAATGGCTCCAGGCTGCTCTGAGGAGGAGCAGGCCATTCCTTTGAAGACCCTAGCCTAAGGCCGCTCTGCCTAGGCCTTCTGGAAGCCTTTGACCTGCCGAATCAGGCCCTCCACCGGTCATCTCTCCACCTCCCCCCAAAATGAAGAACATTTAGCAGTCTTGGGTCACTGTTCAAAGGTCCACGGCTCCTGATGGGCGAGGATCCAGGCCGGACTTTACCGCTGCCCTAGTCTCAGCCGCCCAGAGGGGCCATTAATTAGCCCCTTAGGGAAGTCGGCTCCCTCCTCCCTAGAACCTTAGTCTGGAAAGAATCTCGGATCCGATGGCAACCCGCTCCAGCTCTCCTGATAATCCTGACCAGGTTTACCAGAGCCCCGCAGCCCAGCGACCTTGTGGGCCCCAGAGTTGGACACCTGTCACCTGTGCGGGAGGAGGAAGAAAGACTCGGACTGGAGTTTCTAGGAAGGGCAGGAATGGTGGGGCCCTGTCGTGTGAGAGGGATTTAGATCGAGATTAGTTACTTGGACGACGGACTGGAGTGGGGGGTGGGAGGTGAGAGGTGGTGGGAGGTGGGAGGCGGGTATTATTCCCCCTAGCCGACCGTAGGCTACAAACCTGTCTAACAAGCCGCAGCTATCTTTAATCTAAATCCCTCCGGCTCAGGGCCGCGCCCCCAGCGGCGCCCCAGCCCCGCATCTAAAGGGTTAAGCGACGGCCCTCGGGTCAGACGTTTACAAACACTCCGCAGCCGGGGTGGGACCGCGCCCGTTACTCTAATGAGAAACAGGCTCGGCGGGGCCGGGAAAGAGGGGAGGGCTGGCCCGGCCCGGCCGGCCCGAGCTCCGCTGCGGCCGATGCGGCTCCCCTCCCTTCCCTCCCTTCCCTCCCTTCCCTCCCATCCTTCCTCTGGCCCGCCCTGGGGACCCCCCCAGCCCCGGGGGACCCCAGTGACGTGCAGAGCTGCCCCGGCGGCGAGCCCAGGGCCCAGACGCCGGAGGGGCGGGGAGAAGAAGCCAGGCGGGCGGGGAGGGAAGAATGTTCCGAGGCCGAGCGGGGAGGCGGCCTGGTTTGATTTTTTTTTTTTTTTCTTTTCTTTTTTTTCCCCTTCGGTTGGTCTCCTCAGGTTACATTTCCCTTCCAGCTTCATCTCGGAAATAGAGGAAGGAGAGACCCACGGGGAGGGAGAGCGAGGAACATCCTGAAACGTCCAGCCAGCCTCCACCTAAGAGGCGGGCAGAGGAACTTGGGAAGCGGAGGCGAGAAGGGCAGGAGTAGAGACCTCGACCCCGCTCCAGCCCCTGATCCCACACATGCCGCCCCCGCCCTGCCCGCCTCCGCAGCACAAGCAGACGTGCACATTCTTTTCAAATGTCATATTTCCTTTGATCCTGGGCAGCGTTTCTCCATGTGTCTGGCTCAGCTCCTGCCCAGCCTGCCGCTCCCCCCTCTCACCCCACTTTGTGTATTTTCCTGGAGGTCCCTCCCCGTCCTCCCAGCATCTGGAAGGCCCTGAAGGCTGGCGTTGGCGCACATTCCCCTGGCGACTCTGGCCTCGCCTTCCAGTGACTCAATTTCCCCTCTGCCGGTGGGGGCCAGGGGGTGCGGGCGGAGAAAAGAGCTGTTGAGCGTAAACGTAGTATCAAAGAGCTTGCAGGCTGCTCAGAGCGCCAAGCTTCCCTCGGTGGGGAGTGGAAGGGGGATCCCCTCGACTCTGAAAACCCTCTTATCCGTCTCGGCTGCAGCAGAGGGATGGAATTTATGACTTCTGCAACGTCCTGCCAGGGGAAGAGTGCATTAGTTGTAGGTTTAGGTTGCCCTACACATCTGCCCCCTGGCGACCACAAAGACTCAGCCGCCCTCCCTCCCGCAGGTCCGATTTCTCGCCGGTCAGGCCTTTGTCCTCGCTCGGCTGCCCCCTAGCGCACACACCTGAACACAGCTCCGCTTTCTCACCTTGGGTTCGTGGAGCGCTTTGACTTATGCTCTCCACTTTCACAAGCAAGATTCAACAACGCCTTGGAGGTGGACTTTCTTTTTATTTCTTTTTTTTTCTTTTCAGTTACACAAAATACAGTCTCCTTGTAAACGATTCAAGCCATACAAAAATATATAGTAAGCTTCGATTGCTACTCCGCCATTTTGTACAAATTTGTTAACCTATATATGTACATATGCCTGCTCTTTCTGTGTACTGCAGACCATGCTGCAAGCATATTTCTTGACTTGCTTTTTGTTTTTTTCTCAGTTAACAAATGGCTTGGAGAGCTTTTCCTGTCAATACATGTGCGTCTGAAAATAGTAATAAAAGCGTCCATCTCGGCTTCCCTGGTGGCGCAGTGGTTGGGAGTCCGCCTGCCGATGCAGGGGACACGGGTTCGTGTCCCGGTCCGGGAAGATCCCCCATGCCGCGGAGCGGCTGGGCCCGTGAGCCATGGCCGCTGAGCCTGCGCGTCCGGAGCCTGTGCTCCGCAACGGGAGAGGCCACAGCAGTGAGAGGCCCGCGTACCGCAAAAAAAAAAAAAAAAAGCGTCCATCTCTTTATTTGAGGTTAGTGACAGAGCTAGGTCTGCAACACAGGTTTCCTGGGTCCTTGTCCAGTACCAATTCCACTCTACCTCATTATACGTAGGAATCTGTCTTAGGGTGGGCTTTCCCCCAAAAATCAGAGCCTGAAAAAAGAATGAGATGCAGGTAGTTTATTGCGGAGAGCAATCACAAGGGGCAAAAGTGGGGGACTGGAAAGAGTGAAATGGGTAAGAAGGAAAGCCATCCAAGGGTGTGATGTGGAGCTCGTTACCACCCTGAGCAACTGGAACATTGTCCCCCTGGGCACCTTCTGTGGAGCCATACAGAATGTGATTCAAGAGATGGGATATTTGTCTACTTGCCCTCACCCCCAATTGTCAAGAGTTGCTCCTTGTGTGTTAATTCCCTCACTCTTCCAGTTTTACACAAGGGTCAAAAAATGGTAGGTGTCCCACAAGGCTGCAGCAAAGAAGCCCCTGGGCAAGAGGCAAAAAAGATAGGAGCTGTGCCTGTGAGTACGTACTGTCAGGTGACAGGGACAAGCAGGTGGTTGCCACAGTAATAGCTGGAGTAAAAAGATGGATGGAGAGTAAGTGAAGCAATTAAAATGTGTCCTATACAACAGGGATTCCCAACCTCCCAGTACCAGCCCTCGGCTTGTTAGGAACCGGGCCGCACAGCAGGAGGTGAGCGGCAGGTGAGCGTGCATAGCTTCATCTGTATTTACAGCGGCTTCCCGTCGCTCGCATTACCGCCTGAGCTCCACCTCCTGTCAGCATTACGGTGAGTTGTATAATTATTTCATTATATATTACAATGTAATAATAATAGAAATAAAGGGCACAATAAATGTAATGCGCATGAATCATCTGAAACCATCACCCCCCCGCCCACCGCGTCCGTGGAAAAATTGTCTTAACACGAAACCGGTCCCTGGCGCCAAAATGGTTGGGGACCGCTGCTATACAAGATCATTCAGTCAAACAAAAAATATGTATTGAGGAACCTCTATGTTCAGAGGCATTTCTAGGCATTGGGTACCTATATTTATAAACCACACTCCAAAGAATTGCCAATTATTATCAGGCCGGAGATACATTTCATACTTGACATCTCCCTCTTCCTTGCCCCCTAACTGTACAGAACTGTTTTATTCATAGAGTATCTATTTACCTATGTATCTATCTATATCTGTATCTATCTACCTATCTATCTCCTTCCTTTGCATTCCCTTCATTGCCACTCCAGTTTAGACCTTGATTTTTTCTTAGACTCTCAATAACAGTATCTAACACCAATGGCATATTTTACACATTTGACAACTGAAGCATATCATTTTTAAACCCTTCTCTATAACAAAAAAATAATTTCAGTATTAATCATGATATGAAAAATAATAGCCAGAAAAAATGGAAAGAGTAATAATTTTCTTTTACTGCCTTCCTATGCTCATATGTCTAACAAGGCCAGTAAACAGATAGATAGATGATAATGATAGATAGATAGATAGATAGATAGATAGATAGATAGATAGATAGATAAAACAGTAAAAGACAGGAAAAGGCAACAGATTAATAACTGCAATTATATTCATATACTTTTATTTCAAATACAAAAGAAAAACATATACTTACATATTGGTCTGTCATAGAAATGAATTATAACATTACAATTTCTGTTCCAGGTCTTAATTTTTGCAAATTTGTCAGTGACTTTGTCAAAATTGATCTTCTCATATAGACAGTATAGCCAGATTTGTTGATCTATCTCACTTATGGTTGATCAAAGGAAACTTTTTAATAATCTTAATTTGTTATT